AGTACCAGGCCGGGAAGGTCGCCAGCGAGCCCCTTTTCAACTACCTGGATGTGAGTGGCTCTCCACCCCCACAGGGTGCCACGGACACCCCACCCCCACCCGCCTCCTCCTCCCCTGTTGGAGGAACCGAGTCCCTCAGGACATGGAGGCCACATCCCTGGCCCTGGGTCAGCCTTGCAGTGCTGGGCTCTGAATGACAGGCATCCTGCAGACAGCAGCCCTCGGGCCCGTTGTCTGTCCCGGTCCAGCCTCATCCCCTCATTCCGGGACCAGGGGGCCCTGCCTCACTGGGGCTCCGGGGGGATGGGCCGCTGCTGGTAGGAGGGACCTGGGCCCCATGCCTTCCTGGAGCCCGACTCCCTCTCACCTGTCACTCTCTGCAGGAAACCCAGCCCTCTCTTCTGTCTCCTCTCCTTACTGAGGTCATCCTCACGCCCGCCGGCTCTAGTCCTGGCCCGTGGCGAGGAGGTGTGGCAGGGGCCGCATGGCGGCACCTGGGGTCTCTCCCAAGCTGGGCCCACCTCTCTGCCCCTGCTCCCGGCTGGGTGGCCCGGTGTCCCTCCTAGGCAGGACTTAAACTTCAATCCGATGTCTGCTGCTGGGGCTGAGGCCAGCAGGCTCATGGCGGGGGTGGGTGCCCAGCGTGGGGGCTGAGACCCCTCCCCCTCCCTCCCCAGGGAGCCTCCTGTTCCTTTCCCCTCGACTTCCCAGTTTCTGGGCAGAAAGCACGGCGCCCACGAAACTGAACAGGCTCCATGCCCATGTCCCCCTCCCCTGCATGCTGTCCCCTCCCCCGCACGCTGTCCCACTGAGCCTGTGCCCCGCCCGCAGTGTCAGTACTTCGGGAAGATCGCCATCGGGACGCCGCCCCAGGAGTTCACCGTGGTGTTCGACACCGGCTCCTCCGACCTCTGGGTGCCCTCCGTCTACTGCAAGAGCAATGCCTGCCGTGAGTGACCGCCCGCCCCACCCTCGGACCGGGCCGCTGCCTGCGGGGGGCAGCTGGCCAGCGGGCCATGTGAGGCGCAGGAGGCTGGCGCTGACCCCCCAGCCTCCCGTGTGCCAGGTCCGCCCTCAGCCCCGGCAAACGGCCACTGACCGGGAGGGGTACACATCTCGGGGCTGACGTATAAACCCGCAGCTGGAGGTGGGGGAGCGTGAGTTTTTGTTTTGCCTCCACCAGAAGCCGAGGCCAGCTGCGTCCTCTCCTGGGCCCTCAGTTTTCCTTCCTGTGTAATGGGCTACGTCAGGCCAGGGGGTGCCGGCCGAATGGAGAGAGCGGCCTCTCACCGATGAGAAAACACATTGGACATCTCATCTATTTCCCAACAGTCCTGGGCAGTGTGTGCTCTTTTCACCCCATTTGCCAGATGAAGGAACAGATTCAGGGAAGGAGAGAGACTGGCCTGCGGTTGCAAAGCTGATGGGCGGCCGCAGGGGAGGCGGTTTTTTCTCTCTTATTTTTTTTATTTTTTATTTTTAAAATATATTTTATTGATTTTTTACAGGGAGGAAGGGAGAGAGATAGAAAGTTAGAAACATCGATGAGAGAGAAACATCAATCAGCTGCCTCCTGCACACTTCCCACCGGGGATGTGCCCACAACCAAGGTACATGCCCTTGACTGGAATCGAACCTGGGACCTTTCAGTCTGCAGGTCGACGCTCTATCCACTGAGCCAAACCAGTTACTGCTCTTATTTTCATTTGGAAGCCACACAGGTAGCCCTGGTCTCAGAGAGGTGGGTCCAGCAGCCAAGGATAATTTTCTTTTTTAAAAAAATAGATTTTTATTGATTTCAGAGAGGAAGGGAGAGGGAGAGATAGAAACATCAATGATGAGAGAGAATCATTGGCCAGCTGCCTCCTGCACCCCCCTGCTGGGGATTGAGCCCACAGCCCGGACCTGTGCCCTGACAGGAATCGAACCGTGACCTCCTGGTTGGCAGGACGATGCTCATGTCCTCTCCTGAGCCGGCTGGCCGGGCGAGGATCATTTTGTTTGTTGAACTCGGGGCTCAAGAGAGAACGGGCTGCTCACAAGGCCCGCGGGCGCTGGCGAGGGCGAGGAGACCCAGGGCCCCTCTGACCCGGCTCTGTGTTCCAGAGAACCACCACCGCTTCGACCCGGCCAAGTCCTCCACTTCCGGGACCTGGGCGAGCCTCTGACCATTCAGTACGGCACGGGCAGCATGGAGGGCGTCCTGGGCACCGACACCGTCATTGTGAGTGGGCCCGCCCACCTTCCCACCCCACCCGCTTCCTGCCCAGACACCTGCTCTGGCGGCCGCCCCTCCCTGTGGGGAGGACGGCCCCTGGGGACAGCGAGGGGGCAGGAGCCCTGAGGTGGCTCAGAGGAGGCGGGGCCGTGTCCCGTGCCGGCTTTTCAGGGACGTGGGCAGGTTAATAGGCTACTTGGGAGTTAGCCCTTGGGAGGGTCACGGAGTGATCGACACGGAGGGGCGAGTGCTGGAAGATGCCCAGCATTAGGGTCATGTGGAATGAGGTGCAGGCGCCATCAGTCCATGAAAATGAGGAGGTTGCCGA